CTTAAGCCACCACAGGTCCAGGACTAGTGTGAGGACAGTGCCACACTTGCCTCAGGCGCACAGTGCAAGGAGACACCAAAAAGTTTAGTGAGGCATGCTGGCAACATTAAATATCAAAATGGAGATAAAACTCCAGGATGAACATCACAGCATTTGGAATGAAGTCAAAGTCAGCAACACTGCCATATTGAGCCGACAGCAAAAGGGAAAAACAAGCATAATAATCCTGTCTTTTAAAAATTATTATTAGCAGGGCATGGCGGCACATGCCTGCAAACCCAGCACTTGGGAGGCTGAGGCAAGAGGATGGCACATGTGAGCCCGGCCTCGGCAACTGTGCGACTTGGCATGATCTGTCTCTGAATAAAAAGCAAGGACCACAGATACAGCTGCTGTCCTCCATTTTCGAGTATTAAGACTTGTGAGGAACCCCTCTCCCGCCACAAGCCGCGGGGAGACCCGCTTGCTGTGACCACTTCTGACCTCGCCCACCTCCCCTGGATGGCCCACAGCGCAGCAGGCTGTGTCTGTCATCCTGAAATTAGAACTCTACTTGATGCCCGGCAGTCTAGGAGCTACCCGAAGGTCGTTGCTACGTACATGCAGTCGCTGTATCTGCTTCCTTGTCCTTAGCCAGGAGCACAGGCAAAGATGAAACGGCCACCTGCAGGCTTTGAATATTTTAAAAGGGCCTCAACTGACCATTCAAAATGGGGCGCGTTCACACAGTATCTGATTACACGGGCCTTCAACATGAAGCCAAACCCATCTTATCTAAATAGAAACGCAGAAACCACAGTTCTGATGAAATGTTATCATTTAAAACACATATTGTACTTTTCATAAGAACTATCAACATTTGAGAAAGAATCAATGTGTGTGAATAAACTATGTAATAAATGGATTCCAGCAGAGCTGAACATATGCCCAGAAACTGCTGGGGATCAGGTCAAGTATAATGATTCTGAACCTTTTAGTTAGACATTTTGGGAGAAAAAAGCCAAAAAAATTAGCCAAGATTCCCAGTCACGCTTACAAAGTTTGCATGGATGTAACTTTGTCCCTGAAAGTGAAAGGACTTACGTTTAGCTAATTATGAATGCATGCAGGCAAGTACCTGTCTATCGTGGATTAAAGTAGTTAGGAGAAGCTTTGTTGGAGCATCAGGTCTGGAAAGAGAGTAGATGCTGATTTTCTGTGTCCACACAGGACAGTGCAGACTCAGCCTGTCCAAGGAAGACACTTGACGTGGGTTGGTCGTGAATCCTGGTGGTTGGCCCAGAGCAGCTGTGTGAAGCCTCAGAGACAGACAGACAGACCACAGAGGAAGTTCTGCTCTCCTTTGTCCTGCTGTGTGTCGCTGCTGTTTTCTGCGTCTGTTTCCTTACTTGTGCAGTGAGCCTATTGGGCAGGGTCATCCTGGGAGTGATGCAGGACACGATGTGCAGAGCGCCAAGCACAGCTTGGCTCATGGGAGCTGCGACTGCGCAGAGCTCTTGTTCTAACCACAGCGGGCTCCTCAAGTGTTCGCAGGTTCTCTAACCCAGGCGTCTGCTGCGGGCAGAGCCCATCCGATTCCCCTTCCTCTTTTGGGGTGCACAGAACCAAAGAAGGAACCCTGCATGTTTATAAGCGTGCCAGGGAAAAGTCTAGTAGAGAGATCTCTTTAAGAAGAGGCTCCTTCCTTGCCAACAAAGAGCAGCTGAGCGGTGCCACGGTTTCTATGTACAGTTTCCTGTTTGACATTTTAAAAGACCTAGAAAAGAGCTTCAAAAAATTCATACTAAACTGTCTGGAAAGTAGTTTGCGGCTAGAGAGCTGTGGTTGGCCTCTGTGGAGAAGCGCGGGCTGGGCCCACATGCGGTGTGTGAAGGGTGCAGGAGCTGCTACCAGGCTGCTCCCTCTCACCCCTGCAGCAGAAGGCCTTCCCAGTCAGCACTATCCCCTAGCAGAGGGGGGACATCCCCTCCTGAGGGAAAGGCTCAGGCAGAGCAGCTTCCGAGGCCCAGCTCCAAGCCTCCACACCACTGCCAGAGAGTGGAAGGAGGCCAGGCCAGGCGTGGGGAGGACTATCTTGGGACATTGGAAAGTGGGAAAGCCAGGAGTACGGGGCCGCTGTGAGCCTGCCGCTGGGCTTTCCTGCGGGGCGAGCTGCCGCAGAGGGAGGCCTCGCTCCAGACGCTCTTGCAGTGCCGAGGTCGCCTTGGCCTTTGGGCTCCTGAACGCATTAGACTGACACTGGCCAAGTGCCAGTATGATAGGATGGCTAGCACACAGTAGGGCGGCGTTCACAAGGTGACGCTGTCGTCCTGGCTGGCCAAAACACGGGTTGACGGTTAGTTTTAGTCATGAAGAGAATGATATTCTGGATAAGGACACATGAGAAAACTGCAAATGTCAACTGGCAGACCGCCTCCCACGGCCTCTACCTTCCCGAGGGCCACACCATGAACCTGAGCTTGTCCAGGCTACAGCTCATCTCAGGGCAGCCTGTGAGGTGCTGTGGCGCTTAGCACAGAGGAAACTGAGGACGACATCTGAGTGCTTGTGCGAGCCCAGCATTTCTGTCATAAGAATCTAATTAGTCATTTAAAAAAGGCTCCTAGTACCATGGAATACAGCCCACAGGCCTTAAGGTTCATTCCTGCTGCACAGCCTACTGGCTTGAACTTCACACCAGTATGGCCAGAAAAGATCAGTCAACAAGCAAGTTCACAAACCAAAACAATTGTCAGAAACTATAATTATGATCTTTCACCTCCACGGATGATATAAAGCTCAAAGTAGAAATTATTGAGAAATTAAGTTATGCAGCTTTTTCACAACAATGAAAAGAAATGCTTCTTGCTACCAAATTTTTCCAAGAATAGTAATTTTTTGTGTTACTTCAGTGTAGTATTACATAGGTAGCACTTAGAGGAAGATGGCAGCGTCCAACGCAGGGGAGCTGGGTTGCTATCCTCCTTTAGCAGTGGAGCTTGTGAGGCTGCACAGCATGTGGAGGTACAGAGGAAACACAAGCACAAGCACCACACTCCACAAGGCCGGGGCTGGCCGCGTCTGCTGCCACCCCTCGGGCTGCGTGAAGAACCAGCCTTCCTGTTCCCCGCAAGGAGGCCGGCAAAAGGTGCAGAAGCATGTGCTCTGCACTGACGGAGTGCAGCAAAGTGCAGCTTGGGATTTTCGGAGTGGACACGCACGGCCTGATGCACTGGGACACAACTCCAGTGTGAACGGGGAGCAGGACGAGGAGGCCTGTGGGACGTGTCTGGCCACGGCGCCAATCGGCAAATCCCAGGCGTGCATCTCATGTGAAGTGAGGCAGACCCCCAGGCGCCTCATGCGGGGTTTGCACACTGGGGCCACGTTAGAATTTGTTTCTTTGACGCATAAAGTTTAAGTAGCAACCAGCCCCCGAGCTGTTGAAGTAGTGTGAACCGAAATACCTCAGGAGGCATATCTCAGGCTTTCCCTCCGAGGAGCCTTTTCAGAAGTGGGGTTACAAAAGGCCCTCTAACATTTGCCACATCTGTCTGCACTTCACTTAACGACATTTTAAAATAAGGCTTCCTTAAAACCACAGATATTACAAGTCTGACCGCACCGTACTTACAAACACGTTCAATTATTATTATCATTTATGATACTGGGGATTGAATCCAGGGCTTTTACACTGAACTACATCCCTTGCCCTCTTTTTTAATTTGTAAATTTTAAGACACAGTCTAGCTAAATTGCTAAATTGTGCTGGGCCTTGTGATCTTCCTGCCTTGGCCTTGAACACTCCTAGGATTCCAGGAGGGCACTACCATGCAGAACGAGCGGGCGTGAACCAGCAGCTACTGCGCCATCAGGGACACCACGGGAAGACAGAAAGGGAAGGAACACCCGGCACACTAGCAGAGGCAACTACAGTGCGGGCTGCCGGCTCAGGAGCCCTCAGCACGAAGGGCGCGGGAAGCTGTGTTCTGCCCCCACGTGCCTCTTCCCGCATCCCCTTGAACAAACTGGTCTGATTCACAAGTTGGTTCTTTTTTTTTTTTATTTTGTGAGCTGTTTCCCAGGAGTGGGACAAATGCTTTCAGCGGCTTTATCGCCACCTTAGAAAACAGAGAACAACTGCTTGAAGAAATAGAGGAACTTTCCTAAGTGCTTATGTCAATGACAAAGAGTAGCTCATGTACTTGTATGGAATCCAGCCTTCAATGTTAAAAGGGGACAACTGAGTCAAAATGCCTAAATTCTAAACTTAAAGTGCAACGTGTTAATTCACAACTAGGGAATAAGAACGCCCATCGTATTTGGATTTGAATAGCTAAAATGCACTGCCTGAGAGATATTTTTAAGTTATGTTGACAGGAAGAAGTTACCTGCTAAGTATTTACTTTGACCATGTTCCTCTCTATGTTCATGTCCTAGATTAATCTCCTCATTACTGTATTTCTCCTTTTTCAAATGAAAAATAGACATTAGTGTTTTGGAAACATGCTTTGTGAAGGACTTCCAAGATATTTTTTCTTTTTAAAAGTGACCTTCAAATAAAAAAATTAGACTTTTCAGATAACATAAAGCCTGAAGCAAACAACATCAGGCTCATGAAAAGACCAAAGGGACCTTGTGAAGCAGAGTGGCCAGTACTGGAGTAACTCGGAACATTCTAGAGGAAAGTAAGTGATGTATCACGAAAACAGCAACCAAACCACCCCAAGGCTGGAGGGCAAGGCTGGTCCTTGGCTACTACACTGTCCTGCATAACTCGCACTGGTTGTTTTGCACAGGGACTTCCTCAGTGACAAGGCAAACTTTTTTTTTTTTTTTTTTTGACATCAGGAAACAATACCCTTCTTCTGCTTATTTTTTTCCTTTTCATTGAAAAAGTGCAGAACACAACACATTTCAAAGTTCTCTAGGGCTTTTTGTTGATTTGTGACCAGCTACTAGCTCTGAAAAGGAAGCCACTGTAGTCCAGCTCTGTGGCTCTCTGTGTGGCCTTGGTTTACCTGCCATACGCAAAGCGCCTGTCCTTGTGGTGGTCGCCAAAGGTGTCCCAAAGCCGGAGAGAGACGCTCACTTCATCAACAACATCCCGGGAGCGCTCCAAGACCTGCAGGAGAGACAGCACCCGGCTCGCTGTGACCTGGAGCCCCCAAGACAGGAGGGCCGAGTCAGCAGCCCTCTACCCACCGGCACTGACTTTCTTTATTCTGCCTAGTGGGACTTAGGCCAAGTTCTAGTTCATTTCCTGGAATCTCATGACACAAACCCTTATTCAGGATACATGCAAAGTTCACACTCTGCTTTGTTCTCCTATGACACTAGGGTTTGCTTCGTTTTGAATATGCAATTTCCCCAGCCTCTCCTTTCTTTTTCTTTTTTTAAATTAAAAAATGTTCATGACACACAGCAAATACAATCATCCCAGGGAACTGGTATACGTTCCTACAGACTTGACTGTTTTGCCTCTCCTTCCCTCCCTGCTGGCTCCCAGCTTTTCCTGCCCTCCCCTCCCAAGTTCTGTTTCTTACCTCCTGGCAGACACGGTACTGGTCAATCGCCCAGACAGTTGGCACGTGGGTGGCCAGCAGCTGGTACTGGGTCAGTGTGGTATTGCAAGCCCGGGCACAGATCAGGCGCGTCTTCCCCACGGCGTTGTCACCCACAACCACACACTTGATGGTTTCCACGTTGGGCCTTTCGTAGTCCATGTCAGTGTCCATTTATAATACTCTGCAAAAGAAACGGACACTGAAGCTCTCCAGGGCAATTCAGGACATGAGGGGTCCTGAAGGCTTCTGCCTTTGTCCGGCTCTTTCCTTAGAGGCGCCGAGGCACAGCAAAGAGGTCTGGAAGTTCATACTACGCCTAGCTGAAACTCAAGTTTTCTTTTTATATCTCACCCAAAACAAAAACACCAGACTGTTATTTTGACCTCAAATGGTTTATTCCTGTTAACATGTTATTTTCTCCTTGGTTTTCTCCAAACATGCCTACTGCAGATCCATCTAGGCCACCAGGACAGTGGCCACACAGTATAGCTCCCAGGCTGTACACGTTGGCCAGCTAGTGAGACCTGGCACCTGAAAGGTAGCCTCTGCCACTAAGGCATATGTGCCCACTGCAATATTCCAATTAGCCAGTGTCTGCAGTTGAGAAGTTCTCTGTAAGTTCAAAATTATTCTGGTGACTCAGCAGAGAACCAAAATCTTAGGTTGAAAGACTGATTCTACCCAAGAAAAAACTCCAGGTTGGAATTCTGGAGTATTTATCCAATTCATTTCATTTATACCAATCAAATTAATAAAGAAGATATTCTCAAGAGGGTGTACCATAGAGCTAGATTAAAAAAAATACTTTCCCCTCTGTATTGTCTTTTTTTCCCCATAATTTTATTGAGAAATAAAGAGCAATGAGACAGTTTCAAATCAAATTGGTAGGACAGTTCCAGTAATTAACACATTGCGTGCTGTCTTCCTAGGCCCCTCTGTATTTTCAACAAGAAAGCTGAAGCATACGGTGAATTAGAATTTCTTCACCAGGAAGCACAGCCACTTTGCAATCTTCCTGAAGCCACCAGGAACAGCCCAGAGGAAGAGGCAGAGGCTCTCTCGGGACAGGAGGGGGTTCCTGGGGAAAGCGTGTTCCACCCATGTTGCGGCAGCCTCCCTGTGGGTGGTGGCTGGGTGGGAGACCAACTCTGCACGTTTTAATGAGTTGTAATTTTCCTTTTAAGGAAATCTATTCTTAAGCTGAGATAACTGGTTCATGATAACTCTTTATGAAGAGTTGATACTGGTTTTGCTGACCACGGTAAATTCTTCAGAGGAGAGTCTACTGTACAAGGAGGACTCGGTGAAGAATTTAATTCAGCTGATTGGAGAAGAATGACACTTTGGATCAAAGAAGGTTAAAGGAGGAGAGGTTTAAGGAGGTGACTGAGAGGAGCCCTGCCATCACAGTTAGAGAGTAGCTGAAGGTGGCAGCTTCTCAGGGAGTGAAGGGTATGGTACTGTCACCCTCACGCCATCCCGAGAGTGTTAAACCCAAGGCTGGAGAGTTATTTGGCAGGAACACAGTGCAGCGATGCAGAGAGCAGATGTGTGGTTAGGATGGGATTTGATCTGTGGTTTCTACACAGCAAGGCGCCTTAAAATAGATCAATACCTGTGTGTCATCTGGCAATTGCGACTCTGAACATCCTGGGTGGGGTGAGTCTTAAAAATTTCTAATTCTGACGACCAGCCAAGTAAATGACTCCAAAAGCCAATCTCATCACCATTTGCCTTAAGATGCCATGCTTCATTAGTTCACCACCTCACAGGGAGCAAGGCTCCGACTTGGTGTGAGGCAGCACTCAGCATTCCTCAAAGCTCTCCAGGGAGCCTGTGTGATTCTGGAGAGGGTTAATTTTTCACATTACGAAGAAGAGTTTCACTGAAAAGCTACTGGCCTCTAATGGGCAAGGGCCAAGATGCGGCGGCTAAGCACACTGTGATGTGCAGGACAGACCCGCCAACCAAGAACTACTAACCCCAAATGTCAGGGCGCCACGGCTGAGAAACTGTCTTGGACAGATGTGAGGCTGAACTCTATGGACCCCACTGTCTTGTCACCTGACGGGCTGATTGCTATTTTCTGGGCTTTGGCCTTTTCATCTGCTAGGTGAAAATTATAATTAGCTATCTAAGACAAGCTTATTGTGAAATCCAAGTGAACTGATGTTTTAAGTTCCCGGCGCAGTGCACCTGACACACTGATGGCGCCTAAACTTATAATCTTGATACCAAAGAGGAATGCCTTAAAGGACAGCAAAGTCGAGACAAAAAAGAAGTCAGAATTAGATGCAAACTCATAAATTTAACTATAACAAAGAGCTCTAAAAAGGACAGACTGGAAAGCACTAACTCTAGGGTAACTTACTGAACATTAAAGGACAAAAACACCTGCGCAAAGAAGGCAGGAAAAGGTTTGGGAAGAGGGAGAGGCCGCGAGGAGGTCATTGTGGTTAAGATATTTTTATAGGGTGTTTTTATATTACAGAATTAAAGTGATAACACTTCTTCATGCTCTTCAACAAGTTTTTGGCAATGTTACCATGGTAGCTGGAATTGGTAAAACAAGTTTGGAGTTTCATAACTGAAAACTGACATTTATTATTTTACATGTCCAAAGTGGTGGAATGTCTTTTGATGGTGAATTTGATATTTTTAGATAAAGAAACATCACACAGAATGTTGGGGTTTAGTAACAATTGAGATAGGATGTTAAAAATAGAGAACTACTCTGTTGGCTTGGCACTCTCGAATTGCCTTTCTTGTTGCTTTGCAAACTATCTGGCCTCCAAAGAGGAAGGCCCCAGATGCTGGGCCACAGTGCTGCTGCAACAGTTCTGTAGCTTTCCAGAAGCCTACACTGCGAAAGAAGCCCTCCAAGTTTCCCGCTGGGGTGTGGCTACCAGGAGTATTATTACTTCACCTATTTTTAGACACATTTCAAGTGGTGCTAACAACACGTTTCTGTGTCAAAGGTGAGCACAACGCTCATGGCCTTCTAATCCCCAGCAGTCTGAAGACCAAAGGGAAGGCCAAGGTGCTGAGCCCTGGCACAAAGGGCCACCGCAGGGGAGAGGGAGGCGGGCGGAAGGAATGTTCACAGCCTGCGGATGGGAAGCTTCCAGGGAACGACACTTGACTTCCAAATCCCGAATACCTTTTATCTGGAGCATAAATTTTTTTTTTTAATGGTAATCTAGGAAACATTTTAAGAATGTGAAGTCACAGCCAAAAACACAAACCCATGCTACATTTGAATTGCTGTAAATCACTGTTCACTGTCACGCAAACACAAATATTAAAACATGGAAGTAATTATAAGAACACAGAATTTGATCCTTCTCCACTCGCTACAGACTCTAATTTATTCATATCTAGCACTCTCGCGGTTGAGTGAGCTCTTAGGCCATCTGGATAATGACTGTCTGCTTTCTGAGTTTTATTTACCTAGAATGAGAGCAATAAATATTCATCATTTCACCCAGTTAACTGCCCTGCCACGAGGCCTAAGGATGTGTGTGGACGCCCCTCTGCCTCTAGACACATACCTGAGGAGACGAGGTGGGGAAAGCAAGCATGCAGAAGGCACGCTGGTAGTCTAAGGCAGCGCCGTTCTTACTCAATACCGATCTCAACTTCCTTACATACTGGAACAAATGCTCAGCATGGAGACTGAGTTAAATGCACCTGAGGCCCTCCTGCATACTGGCTGGAAGTGGTTAAGTTTATCACAAACTGACCAGCAGTCGACAGGAAAAGGCTTGGGGGCGTGGTACGGGGGCGTGCCACTCTGAGCACCAGGGTTCACTGCCCCAGGCTGTTCACAAGACACACATGATTCCGATCTTCACTGTCCAGAGAACCACGTTCTCGGTTTGATTTTCTTGTTCCTCCCTAACGTTATTCCAGTCATCTACAGGACCTCAGGCCTCTCCTCTCTGCTTACCCCCAGCCCAGTGTTCTTCTGGTGTCCTTGAGATGTTGGGCCCTCAGCCTTGCCTCACCGTGTCTTTGCTTCTTCTCAGCCAGTGACTGTCACCACTCTACTCCAACCATTCATCCTCGGGGTGCTATTTAGATGGTGCTGTCCCCCAGAAACATTTTACTTCTCAAATAGATTGCAAAATCCTATCCTCAGAGTGAAACTACTTGTTGATAGCCGGTGCTGGATGGAACAAGATCACTGCAGTCGCCTCCCCCGCCTCTGGCTGTGAATTCTTCCCCCTGTACTTGGGGGCAAGCCCTGCTGATGCTGGCCAGAAGCATGTGCTGGCAGAGGTACATGCGCAGCCTGGACAGCGGGCTTCCAGAGGCCCTGTGGTCCGCGTTCCTGCTGCGGGCCAGCTGCCGAGGCCACCATGTGAGGAGGGGCCCTCATCTAGCACAGGATGAGAATCCACGCTGGGGAGGCCAGCCCGCTCTCTGGGTCTCACCACCCTCCAGCTGAATGTAGCTTTGTGAAGGAGCCCAGGTAAGCCAGATGTACTGAACCAGGGGCTCTTACGAACCAGAGGATACCACTGTTGTTTGCAGACATCAAGGTTGGTTTTAAGGCAGTAATGAATGCAAACACACCCATTATACCTTAGGAAAAATCTTTAAAACCTTAATTCCCCATTTTTTTTAAAAAAATTGTCAGATGCTAAGCCCTCCTTGGAGGATAATCTTTTCCGCCAAGGGCTGATGGGTCAGCTCTTCTCTGTGCTAATCATGTTCAACTTCTCGCACTGTTCTGGAAGTTGGCAGAAGAACAGCGCTCTGAGGGCAGCTCCTAATCCCTGGCACCTATGGGCGTGCTCTGCTCCACGGCACAGGGTAAGACAGATCTGCGGAGGGACTTATAGTTGCTAGTCAGCTGACTTTAATATAAGAGAGTGCCTTAAATTAGGGAGTGCCCATGGTAATCATGGGGTCCTTCAGAGACAGGATGGAAGTCAGAAAGAGGATGCTGGCTTTGAAGAAGGAGAAAAGGCCACCAATTAAGAAGTGCAGGTCACCCCTGGCAGCTAGAGAAGGTAAGGACAGAGACGCTTCTGAGTGTTGCCAGGAGAAACCCAGTGTGCGATGCTTTCAGCTCACCAAGGCCCAGCTCATACCTGTTCTGGTCTCCAGAACTGCAAGTTAATAAATTTATACTTTTTAAATACATTTGATAACTTGTTACAACAGCAATGGGAG